TTCTTTGTGAATACATTGAGTTGAGCAACCGAAGTAAGAATCTTTGTTTGGGTTGGAGCCATTGTTGGATGTGTTTAATAAGGTTGAGATTGGTTCAAGTGAACCCGAAAAATCCACTATCGGAGGTCGATTATTCAACAAATATGATCGGATTAGTTGCTATGTAACTTTTTGTTGACTTAATCTTTGCGTAAGAACGGATTTACCTAGTTACTATAAATTGACTTCTCTTGTTTAATTTTTGGTGCTACTGAATCTCAAGTGATCTGATGTACTCGGTTAATAAATATGCATATGCTTACTGATAAAAAGTTTACGTTGTATGTCACTGGAATAACAAAAAATTTGGATAAAATCTTGTTGGAATGAAATTTTTTGCAAGAGTTGGAAGAATAATCTTGATGAGTGCAATTGGGGTTAAAGTTATTAGCAGAACATCATTAACGAAATGTTCATTTCTTATGATCGAGGAGATTTGTATCAGACAAAAGATTTTTCTTGTAGAAACTTTATCCGATTCCTGGTTTTTTGTTTTTTCCTTTTCACGGTTGTTATTATTTTGAACTTCTAATTTCTCTTGCAGGCCTTTCTAGAGGTTGATATTGTTGCGTATGGAGGTATGCGTGTATCTAATGATGGCTGAGTGAAAAGTAACTCCTATTCGTTAGTCAAATTATCTAGGTTCTTTTGTATGAGTTTGTAATTTCTACTCATATTGTGTTGTTTGATCAAATAATTCATTGAGTAAAGCAGATGAATAATTAGTTCTTACATGTTTTCTTGAATGGGAAGTTTTATCATTTTTGGTTAGGTTCAGAGCCTCACACTGCCGTTTTAGAGAACTCATCTATTCATATTCACAAAATGGTATGATTACTCACTGCTAGACTGATTGTGCTTAAAATTCTCAAGACATTAAGAATAACTCTATTTTATTTTGGACAGCCGCAATGGCCAACTAGTGGTCGAAGTCTGCTGAAGATACTTCGTCCCTTAATGCTTATGCTCAAACCAATTGTTCAATTTCTTTTGCTGCTTTGGTATATTTGCATGAAGATACCGGCTCCTGATGCCTTTATAGTCCAGGTGAGCTTCAAATCTGTGCTTATTCAGTCATTAGAAAAGTGACATCTGATGGGATCATAATTTTTTGTATGATTGGCTTTAATTTTATGCTAATGCTGAATTTTGTGAAACTTTTTCCTTGTTCCTTTACCTAATATAGCAGGCTTATGTTTAGAAATTTCCTTGTATTACTTGATGCGATTATCTTAGCTTTTAATTAATGATTGTTAAGTTACATAAAGCATGCAAAGGAAAAGTTTGTTTTTATATATCATTGCTGAGTTTATTAGAAATATTCTTGTTTAGTCCTTGTCTCAAAATAATCAGGCATTTGAAAAGTGATCTTTGATGGGATTTATCTCAACTGTTGTATGATTGGCTTCTATGTTAATGCCAAATTCAGTGAAGCATTTTCCTTGTTCTTTTACCTTCTGTAACAGGCGCGTTTTTAGAAATTGCTTTGATTCACTTGCTGACTGTCATCGTATTAGCTTTTTATTGATGATTTTTAAGTTACATGATGCCTGCAAAGGAAAAGCTTGTTTTCATTTATGTACTAGTGCTGAGTTCAATGGAATATTCTTGTATAGTCCTTTTTCAGGCATTCAAAATAACCATTTCATCTTGATTGTAATTGATGGGGAAAGGTAGATTTTGAGTTACTACCCTTTTCCATTCCCAAATATCTTAAAAAACCTTATGTTTTCAAAATCATGTATACGCCAACATGTGCAAGTGGAGGTTTTACCAACTAAGGATAAATTAAGGGATGGATGACTTAGACTGCTGGTTGGAGCATTTTTTTTGTGGACCTAAAGAAGCTCTTGTTAAAGAGAGTGATCGATCCCAGTAGAACACGCTAGAGCAGAGAAATGCATGCTAAAAATTACATGCTTAACATGGTTACAAATGGTTTGATTGCGATTAGTGTTGGATGGAACGGAGTGGTGAAAAAGGATTCATGTAGCCTCCATATTTATTGGGAACATGAATTAGTTTGTTGTTCTTGTTCATAGCGTAAGAAGCTCTATTGATAGCTCTGAATGTTTCAATTTAAATTCATATAGGCATTTTCACTTCGTTTCAGTTCTCCAGTAGTTTTTACTATAATTTTTCAGGTTTTCTAATACATGGTTTACAAACAATTCCCAGTTGACTATGTTTGTGCTTGAGCGTGCATCACAACTTAATTTTATTGGCTGGATATCTATGGTTGTGCTTGGGCATCCTGGTTTAATTTTGTTTACTGGCAGTCTGATTGGATCTCAATTATTAAAGTGTTTGTTGTCACTTACCCTCCGAACAAGGCTTCTGGTTCAGATATGTGACTTTGACTTGCAGAATCCACCGTCTGTTCCTACCCTAGTGGGTGTAAAGTGGGCTAGCTGGTCTAGACATTCGACATTTATTGTAGATTGGCATAATTTTGGATATACACTGCTTGCCCTATCACTTGGAAGGAGTAGTTTATTCGTGTCGCTATATCGTTGGTAAGGTTAAGTTCCTATTATTTTAATCAAATTGAGGATCTGTCTTTACAAATTTAGAAATATGATGATGTTTTGGTATATGCCTAGGATTGAGAAGCAGTATGGCAAGATGGCCCATGGTTCTTTGTGCGTGACCAGGGCAATGCAACATGAATTGGCTGAGAACTGGGGAATCAAGTGATGTTATTATCTAAATAATACCTCATATATTTTTATCTACTTACTCATTTACCTGCTCCGTGTTACACGGACACTTTAACTAGGGTGGCATGTCTGTGTTGGACATGTTTGACACCTACGCTCATTGGACACACTATTATGATCATTTTTCTTTCTTTAGTAGAAAAAATTATATAATTTTAATTCAAAGTTGTTATTAAATAACAAATAGGTATTCTTATAAAAGATTTAAGAAGAAAATTAATAACAAGTAGAAAACTAAAATTATATTTTATAAATGAATTAACTAGGGTGGCATGTCTGTGTTGGACATGTTTGACACCTACGCTCATTGGACACACTATTATGATCATTTTTCTTTCTTTAGTAGAAAAAATTATATAATTTTAATTCAAAGTTGTTATTAAATAACAAATAGGTATTCTTATAAAAGATTTAAGAAGAAAATTAATAACAAGTAGAAAACTAAAATTATATTTTATAAATGAATAATTTTAAAGAATTTAATTAATGTGTCAGCATGTCCAATACTTGTAGTGTTGAACACATGTGTCCTTGTCGGTGCATCATAACTTGTTCCTATGTTACTTAGCTGCATCCTCTTTGTTTTTCTATCATAGAGCCACTGTTCTGTATGACCAGCCCCCAGAGTTTTTCCGACCTGCTTCCCTTGAGGAGAAGCACAATGTAAGTAACTTTATTTGTCATAGAATGGTTTAAGAATGCGTTTAATCAACAAGCCTTAATGTCAACGACAATCTAGTTATTTTGCAGGATCAGCAAAAGCCTCAGCCTGCCATCTGGTTTTCAGGATTGCATTAGTAATGGTAAAGCAGAGTAGTGATGCTGTTCTCTAATTCACTGTTAAAGTTGATGTTGAGAGTATGTTGGCTAATTTGGGTTAAGCGTGAACCCTTCTGGCAGGAATGACAGCATCAGATAACAATGATCCTAATGTAACTCCATTTACAGCTCAGCTTGGCACTGATATTTTCCTGAAGCATAATGGACCAGCGCTCATTGTTAGCAGCACAAGCTGGTATGTTCTTAATAAATTGATTCCTCATCATCTTAGTGTACTTGAAATTACTTTTCCTTTTATGACTACCTGCGTCCTTTTTCTCAGATCATATAAAAATAAAGGACAGGAAGAAAAAATCTTAGATAAACTTGGGTTGGTAGTGTAGCCATGTATTTGGCGTATTTCTTGAAAATTATTACTGTAATGGAATGATAAGTTTTTCCAGGACTCCAGATGAAGACTTTAGCATTCTTTTGGAAGCAGCACTCATGTATGATAGACGCGTTGCTGCACTATTAAATGAGGATGACTCGAGCGGAGATGAAGTTGTTTGGAAGGAAATTTCTGACGGGAAGCAATTCTCATACCCAAGGTTGTTATTCATCATTATTGGTAATGATTGTTCATATTAAGCAATCTTTTTATTTAACTAGTACTTTCTTTACTTGTTACAAAACTGAATTTCGTCTTTTTACCTGAGTGAAGGGAAGGGGCCTGAAAAGGAAAAATATGAACAAAAAATAAGGAAACTGAACCTCAAACGCGTGGCATTCCGTACTATGTGGTTATCAACAGAGGATTATCCTTTGCTCCTTGGTAAGTTATAAATGGTTGATTGGTTGTATTTCACTATCAAAGGGTAACAATCTTATATCTTCCTTTACTATATGTTCAGGGTCAGCAGATCTTGGTGTTTGCCTGCATACTTCTTCATCAGGGTTGGATCTACCCATGAAGGTATTGCGTCTTTAACCTGTTTTTGTGCATGGAAAAACAATTTTACAGCAATTCATTTAAGCTTTAGCTCCTATTCCTTGGAAGTCTCTCTCTCTCTCTCTCCCCTCCCCCCTCTCCCTCTCTCGTTTTTATGTTGTTTGTAAGAGAAACACTTGGAACTTTTTGGTTTAGTAGGTTGTGGATATGTTTGGCTGTGGACTCCCTGTCTGTGCTGTTTCATATTCTTGGTAAGATCTTCTGGTGCTCTTTGTAAAATTTTAAAGATATATTACATTTAACAATTTTTTTTCTCTGTCAAGTATCAAGGAGCTGGTAGAAGTTGAAAAGAATGGCCTCCTTTTCTCTTCATCTTCAGAACTAGCTGATGAACTCATGGTAAGCACGTATGTGGGAAGCTGTATAGCATTTTTGAAAGCTAATATTAATTAACATTCTTCATCCTCCTTCAAGAAAAAATCATAATTGTGAAACAAGATGACAGTGGAGATCCATAATATTTTGTTTGAACCCTATTTTCACAAAATTCATTTTCAACAATATACTCTCCCGATAAAATAATTTTATATGTAAACACAAAACTTTTCCTTACTTTTTTTAACCATACATTCTTCTAAAATTTACTATTCCAAAATCGATTAACCCCCAAAAAATGGGGTCAAACAAGGGCTAAATTTTCCATTTCTTTGTTGATGTTGCTGTTTCTTGTACGCATGCCAGGGGTGAGTTATCTCATAAAGTTATATTGCAATTTAGGTATCGAAAAGGCAAAGTATATTAAAGAAATGTCTTCTGAAGGAATCAATCCTGTGGATAAAACATTCATAATGCGTAAATGAAATATAATCTTAAGATTAAAGTAATGATAAAGGAAACCAGCTAGATGTGATTGAAAAGTGAAATTGATGACGGACCATACAATGGGCTTTCTTTTGACAGGTATTCTTATTGCAGTTGGGAATGTCCAGAAAATATAACGGCGAAGTTCTAAAATGATGTCTTGACTTCTGCAGATGCTATTCAAGGGTTTCCCAGAAAAGTGTGATGCTTTAAAGAAGTTGAGAATGGGCGTGATGGAAAGGGTATCTTCAGCAAGGTGGGCGACCGAGTGGGAGGAAAATGCTAAGCCCTTAATATCTAAGGCAAGTCAACTATCCTTAATCTGGAGTTTTCGGTTACTCTCTTCTAAATCTTCTGTTACGAAGTTTTCAAGTGAAACTTATGCAGGCTTTGAGATCTCTTTACCATTGATTTAATCCTATACTAGATCACTGAATCTATGATAATATGCACTATTTCAGGTCATTTCTGAGAACTTCAGCTGAAGGTGCAGGAGTGTAACATAAAAAATTTTCGAGTTTGAAATTTTCTTTATGCATTTATATGTAGTTATACCCTAACTCATCAAGTCTCTGGTCGTGAGGGGACTACTCTTGCTCCCCTGCGGCCCTGCCTGCCCCCTACGAGAAATTATAGCTTAGAAGGATGGATTATTTTCTGCAAATTAGAGTGGATTTTGTTACTTCTTGTTGAGCACCTTTGAAACTTGCAGTGGGTCGCAATACATTTGGAACTCAGTATGATAATGCGACAATTTATGCCTTATCCAATTTTTGCTCCTTCCAATGCAAAAACTTTGAAACTTGATTAAGCGTGACACTGGAAAGTAAGGAATTTCTTAATTTAGTAAACCAGTTACAACATTCTTGCTTGAGTCCGTAGATGGATTTGTTGGGACAGCATACAAATTTCTCTCCCCAGTGGATGATAGCCTGCAGCAGATCTCCATGAAGAATGCGATTTTGACTTTAAACTGGAAACATTAGCAAGCTTTGTCATGAGGAAAAGTATGTTCATAAAACAAAACATCCCTCGAAGTATAAATCTTTATTGTTTCAAGATCATAAATTCTAGAAAAAAATCTATATGCCCTTTGTCCAAAAGGATACCCAATAAGTATACCAGGTTTTGAACATGCATCAGATTTGTAGGTGAAAGATCATGGGCAACCATAGACGCCCAAAACTCAAAGTTGAGTTGCCTAAATTCATTTCTTGATGTGTTTTGCCATTTAGGATAGACGGGGGAATTTTATGATTCCATAAGCAGTGGAAAAAAATGCACTCTCCCCAAATATTCAAGGAAAGGTGACTCTGAATTCTTAAGTAAATGATGATACTTATGTTCTAGACTCCCTCTTGTTATCGAGTGGCAACACAGCTATGTTGATGTATTACCCTTTTTTTTCTTGAAGAATTCCTGTAAATCTTTTGGAAAGAAACTCAGTTCCATTATCAGGTGACTTTGAAATCTTAATGTTCGAGCAACTTCAAGTAAATGGCGATGCTTAAGCTCCACAACACTATTTTGTTGTCGAGTACCAACACAATTACGTCGATGGATTCCCCCATTATTTTATTTTATTTTATTTTTTTTCCGGGGAATATCTGTAAATCCATGGAGAGAAACTCATTTACATTATCAATGCGGATACTTTTGACAGGAAAAGAAGAATTCAACTAATCAGAACTAACGACCATGGTGTAGTCGAAAAAAGGAAAAGAAAGATTTTAAAATGAATTGGGTTATACGTGTTTCATCAAGAAAATCAAGGTGCATGGACTAAAATAATCAACAATACTAAAAAATGAAAGTGCACCAGAATTCCTAGGAGTAACAAAACCTCGGCATATATCAACAGCGAATCAATTCAAAAGGCGAAATGGTCTTTGTTGCTACAAAAAATCGTACATGTCGATTTCCCGAGCTTGAGGATTTTGAATTAGCATGATCTTAGTCTTCCGGTACCTGAAACAAAGGCAACGAGGTGTGTTCTCGTTGCTCCTCCGATACTTAAGTCAGAAATGAAATTATATGCGTGAGGCTATAAATTGGAGAATAATGAAAAACTTACCTAAATAATGGCCCAAGTATCTATATTTATAGAGGTAGGTAGTGTACTCCTAGTAGAATTGTACCAGTTGATGTATTTATCCAATGGAGTCTTGTTTGTGAGGAATATCCTACTCGTAATGGAATTGTTTGACTGGTGGTGTAAGAGTTGATGTAGAGTTCTTGGGTGTTTAGATGTCCGTTTGTTAGGTACATAGGTCTCAAAGATCTATTAATGGACGATGTCCCGAGGACACATTTTCGAGGACCATGGGGTGATTTTTATATTCGTATGAGATTTCCTCGAGGACCAAAATACCTCGAAGACTAGAAAGATCTCGAGGACATTTGGCAGAAAAGTGGGCAGAGCACGTATGGAGTCCTTGAGGAAATGGTCCTCAGGTATATAATATTGGTATCATCAGTCTTTATATAACTTAAAAGGAAGGAAGAGTTCTTGTGTGCTTTCCCAGAAGGCATACTTCACAAACTCTTCTATTAGATAAAAGAAACTTCTGGAGTTAAAGCATCTTCTAAAACAATTGCCCATTAATCGCCAGCGCGAAACTTGTAGCGAAAGGCTTCACATTTCCGTAAACATCAATTCGTAGCATTTATCAATACAGCGTGATTCCTTTTTACAATAACTGCAGTAACTCTTCGAGCGATTCTTTTGTCCACCCTCTTGATTCGGTATTTGCCCATTTCCAGGTTTTGTCAGACTAGGGAAACAAGAACCTGATTTCACACCTGGGAACGACTATGCAGCTCTGTTACTGACTTTGCAGCTCCACATGAACGACTTGGAATGGTTAAATACGATGCAAATTCATCCATAAAACTTTTAAACGAGTGTAATACAGAAAAATCTCTTTGTTAACAATATGATATTGCCCTTTTTACCTCATAAATCTTTGTAGTGTTAGGTTGAGAAAATCGTTCGCGCAGGTCCTTCCAAATGGCTTGGCTGTATCTGCATAAATAGGGTGCTGGCTGGGTGTGCACAATATCTGTACAGAATGTGCACGCACAATATTTGCGAATAGGAGAGGGAGTTGTCGTCCAGCGCTAGTCTTTCGCCTTGGAAGTTCTTCACCGCACGATCCACAGAAGGTTCCCTAGTTTAGGTTAAAAAAAAAAAAAAAAAAAGAAAGGCAAGAAAAAATATAAATACTACCAATAAATATATATACATATCAAATTCCTAGAGACGACTTTTCTGCTTGCTAATGCAGGGTCTGAAGATAAGCTAGAAGGTATATCGGATTTTCTCTCTATATCCACCCATTGCCCATTGGTCGTTGATTCATTCTCTTGAGACTCGGAACATTTTTTCCTCTTAATGATTTAGAACCTGTTATCACCTATAGAAAATAGTAGCTAAATCAAATAGAACAGTTTTGTTATGAAAAATACAATTGCTTGTAGATAAGAATTATGGATATGGATAATCGGATTTTGCCAAGATCGGTTCATACCAGGAAGTAAAAGTGCAGACTATCTTCTAAAGATGTGCAAATCCAATCACAACACCTTCCCGCCAGCAATCGCACTTCCATACATCAACTGCTACTCCAACCTTGAACGACTGGTTTGAATAATCCTCACAAATCCAAGGCCGGATTGTAGGGTGGCCAGCACATCTCATTCCGAATTTATTAGCAGCAGTAGCTTTGGATATTGGAATCCATTACTATGCATATCAATGTGATGTCTACTCCAGGACAAGGAATATTTCAGGGATTCTTTTGGTTACATTCATGAAAATGAGAAACCTATGGACTTTCCGAATTTAGATTTCGATAATGAATTTACAAAAGCTCCTACTAGCCTCGAACCCGAAAGTGGCAATGAGCCAAAATAATACTACACTTGAAATATGATGATGAGGAGTATGGTTAGAATGCATGAAGTGTACCTCTTTAACTTCTTATTTGTTTTAAAATAATGTTAGTTGTGCACCCTTTGGTGTACACCCTGGTTGACAGCCCTCTCATATGGGGTGGGCCATCAATTATTTTTATAATCATGAGCCCCACTCCCTATTAGAGGACTGTCAAACTAAGTGTAGCATTTTTGGATTATTTATCATGATGATCATATAAGACATTTTTGGTACATAACATCGAGGATGTCATAGTATTGGACTTTTAGAAGCTTCCATGACGACTTCAAGACCTTACACCTAAACCAGCGACCTCGCATGCTTCTGTCCTCAGAAAGAAGCTCAATATTCTGACTGACTGAGACGATTCTCCGGACTGTGGCCCAGGTACAGAAAGAGGCTTGCCTAGCAGGCATTGTGATTTTCACTTTACCTGACTATAAAAAATCATAGCAAGGCCACCACAATAACCAGTTTCAAGATTCTGATTCCCTTGCTACTTACAACTCTTTTGGGAACTTGCTTTGCAGGATCCTCACATGAAGAAACTTTTACTTGAGTATTTCTTTGTTGGGAAAATGGGAATCAAGAAAGAAAAATATTGATCGACTGGAGTTGCCACGTAATTTACCATAATAATTATTGTAAGGTGGATCACACCCTATAGTTAGTGTAAGTTGATTGGTCTAGAAAGTGTAAAGTGGATTGTGGAGTTTATGAATAATATGGACCATAGATTAAATTCAATGGTTGGATTTAATCTTGTGGTCAATTATCCTATACTAGTGTTGTCACTTTCTACTTGACCATAGAACAATATTTGAATTTTGAATTCAAATGGATTGGCTATATAATTACAAGACTTCTCCATTATCTCATTTTTTGGATTTGGCATAACATTGGAGAGAAAGAATAGAGAGGAAATCAAGCGGGAGCATTCTATACCTCCGATGAAATTATTGGTGGCTTCCAATGGATCTTTTCTAGGTATATCCATTGCCATTCCCATGGACGAGGATGTATGATTCGGTGTGACACAAATCTGAGCTCAACATCATAAGAGATTCCATTGGAGGTGTTGAAGAAGCTTTGGGTCGTTTGGTTCGATTTTACCCTTAGAGAATTCATATTTTTCGCATTGTAGTTGTAATAATCTTTTGTATACAACACTTTAAACTCTACAATTATTTTATTTTACATATATCAGTTACTTAGAACCATTTTATCTAAAAATATAAACTGAAATGATAAAAAAAAAATGCATATTAGCACGCGTTTGCTCCATATTTGCACAAAAGGTGCACTAATTTAGGTAGAATAAACACAATGCTGAAATTTACCAATAAGAAAAACTCGAATATTACAAATAACTATCTGCCTTCCAAAACTCTTGGGGGTTAGAACTTATGAGGGAGATCAGTAAAAACTAAAATTGTTTAGCCTCAAATCATTAATTTTACGGAATAAATGCTTAAAATTCTACACAATAGAAAAGTACCCATAATTGGAGTCCCGAGACCTATTCACAAAATGGTACACAAACAGGGAATTTTATCCAGACACAGAGAAACCAGAGTTAACCAAACTGAAATTAAACTAAAAAGGAAAAAAAAAAAAATCAAAAACAAAAAATGGATTTGTGTGTTCTGCTAATCTGATCGAGTCTAACTCCATCAACATGCAATGTACAAACTTGCATTCAAACCGTGCACCGATCAAATCAAGAAACTTCTACCCACCTGAAAGACGATAATATATGATTGCTGATACAAAAAATTGCGGAGAGAAGATGAAATGAGCAAGAGAATTTTACTCAAAAATGCCTGAAAAAAA